AGAGAGAGAGAGAGAATAGAAGAGAATAGAAAAAATAGAAAAATACAGAATAGGAAATAATCTGATCGAAAGAGTTAAAATTAAATAAATATTCATGTGTATACATACATTACACATGTATATTATATTTGTAGATATGGATGAATGCCTTGGGTCCAATAATCCTTGTCTTGATCCGAATACCACTTGTAAAAATGTACTGGGTGGTTACGAATGCTTATCTTTAAATCGTTCTATTGTTCCAATTGACGAACAAACGGAACCATCAATTTGTTCTGCGGGATATAAACCTATGAATGATTCTAACGATGCATGTATCGATGTGGATGAGTGTAAAGAACAACTGCATTCGTGTGAAATAAACGAACAATGTGTAAATGACATAGGTAGTTATAGGTACGTTCTCTAAAAGATTGTTTTTAATATTTTAATAATTGATTCTTAGGATTCCAGAAATCTATATAAAATATTAAACGAGATTGAGAAAATTTTCATGAATTTTTCTTCTAAAATTTTAGTAATTTAAATTTAAAATTGCATTATTGAAAAATTTTTATATTTTTTTAATATTAAAATAATTTTAAAAGAAAATTAAATTTAGAAGAAGAAAAAAAACTTTACAAAAACAAATTATTTGTAAAATATTTAATTGTGAGGAAGTTGATCTGTTTTGGGATCTTAAGGATTAATAATATCAATGATCGATACATTTTCATTATATTTCATTTAATTAGATGTGAACCATTAAATCATGAAGTTACCAACTTAAATGGAAAGGATAAAGATCATCATAGTTATTTATATGAACATAATGGACATAAATCACATATACAACGATATGACGTTACTGGGCACAAATCACAAATTTCTGTTTCTCCAGCCCTTAATCAAACGATGATTTGTAATGAAGGATTCATTTTTGATCAACATACATTAAATTGCATTGGTACAAGATCATTAAAATCTTATAAATACTTATCTTTTTATAATTATATATATATATATTTTTTAATCTCACTATTTTTTTTCTTTTATATGAATTTAATTAGTTAATTTAGTTAGAATTTATCTAATTCCACAATAATTCGATTATTTATTATGAAATTTCTCTTTTGACAGATATTGATGAATGTAGCAATGGTTTAGCAAATTGTAAAATTGATGAAAAATGTGTAAATTTCAATGGTGGATATAGATGTTCTTCCATATGCCCACCTGGTTTTCAATATAATAATACTTATTACTCGAGCAGAAATGAACCGTCTTGTCGAGATATAAACGAGTGCGCACTTGGATTACATTCTTGTAACGTATCAACTCATTATTGTGTCAATACGAACGGTTCGTATTCCTGTAAAGAATTTGCGACAACGATAAGTTCACCAAGAATTAGCAAACAATTAAATAGTAAAAAGGATTATATAATGCAGGTATTGATCTAAAATATGATAAATACATTGTATAATTTTATTTTTTTATGAAAAAAGGAAAATTTATTTCCATATAAAATTTAAATACATTATTTATATTTAAATTTCTAAATTTTATTTCTTACTCTTTGTATTTAAATTTTCTAAATAATTTTTCTAATAAAAAAATTAACTATTGAAGTTATTATTCTCAAAACATTCACAATTTATAAGATAGATTGAAGAATAATATATTTTGAATTTACAAAAATATTTGGACATGTTATAAATTTATGTTATTAATTTTAAAAATTATTAATTAACTTTTGCTCATAATATTCTTTCATAAGAGAAAATCTGAAAAATATAATTTTATTATATATACATTACCACTATAATAAATATCAAATATGTACACCTATATGTATACTATATTTTAATATATTTATTTTTGTTATTTTATACAAAATCATATTTATTCTAGAAAATAGAATACAAGAATAGAATATAAAACATAAGAACAAATATTATTCCAATATTCATAATTTTGGAAGCAACTGCATGTGTAATTTCTTCTTTTAGAATACCAATCATTATTTATTCTTGGAGCCATGTAAAAAAGGATATAGCAGAGATACGAAGAGTGGAGAATGCGTGGATATCGATGAGTGTGCATCGATTAGAGCCTGTCAAGAGCATGAAGTGTGTCATAACGTGCCAGGTGATTTTGAGTGTACACCACTTTGCACCACTGGCTGGTACTTTAATACAGTAACAAAAGGTTGCCAAGATGTCGACGAATGTCTTTTAGGCAGACATGATTGTCCAGAAAGTACTCATAAATGCGTTAACACAAATGGTTCTTTTTTCTGCGAATTGATACCGCCTTGCAGCAGCGGTTACAAACGATCTTTCCTCAATAATAGTTGCGTGGATATCGATGAGTGCGAGGAAAACTTGCATTCTTGTCGATTAGAATTGCATCAATATTGTGTTAATAGAAATGGCACTTTCGAATGTTTAACCAGATTACCTTCTTGTCCAGCCGGTTATGAATATTCTTTAGCTACTAGAAGATGCGAGGATATTGATGAATGTATTACTGATCAATACACATGTGATCCTAGACTTTCTGAAAAATGTATCAATCTACCTGGGACTTACAGGTATATATTATTAAAGGTTATTGAATATTGTCATTAAATATTGAAATTTTGCATTTTATATTATATTATAATTTATTGGCTACTTTTTACATGAAATAAAAATAAAAAGAATAAATAATTATTTCAAATAAAATAAAAAGTAAATTTATTTGAAAAAATATTTGCAAATAAATTTTGAATTTTTAATTGAAAAATATATTATTATGAAATAATTTGTTTATCATTAATTTAGATAATAATGAAAAATAAAAAATCACAAATAAAATTTTTTGTACACAATAAATATAATGCTAAAGTCAAAAAGTTAAAAAAAAAAAAATGATTTTAAAAAATAGAATTTTATGTAGAAAAAATATTTCACTGCAAAAAAATTCTTATGTTTTTAATGAAATTAAATAAAAGATATTTATATAAATATTTAAATAAAACAATTTATCTTTCAAATATATATTTTAAATATATTTTTTAATACAGTTTAAAATTCTGTTAAATTTTTTTTAGATATATATATATAATATTTTTTTAAGTACTTAAAAATGTTTTTTTGCTATAGAATACTTTCTTTAAATATATACTAAGTTTCTTAAAATTTTAAATTTACGACATGAAATTCCTATTTTTATATATTATTATATCGGAATTTTCTTATTTTTATGCAATTAAAAAATATTGTTTACACACAATTTGAATATAAAATAATATTAAAAGAAAATATAATTAATACATTTTTCTCATGTTTTATTATGTTTGAAGATGTGAAAGACCCACATCGATTAGACAACATCAACGTCAAAAACCTGCTTGTCCTTCCGGTTATAGATATCATCCTCGACTAAAAAAGTGCACAGGTATATTTTAATTATTTTATATTAAATTATATTAAATTATATTAAATTTTAAAATTATATTCAATTGTATCGGTGTAATACAATTTATTATAAGAAATTACAATAAATACATTTACATTACAAATAAATTTATATTTATATTTCAATTTGCAGAAACGAAAAATTGATAAAATTACATTAATGAAATTTTGTATTAATTTACAACTTTTTTTCAGGATGGAATTAAAAAGTTTTGAGTCAAGCATATAAAATTTAATATTTTGAAAAATGTTTTTGAATAAATATTTTAAAATTGCACGTGTGCACGCTTATTGCATGTGAAGCATTGTTTGTATGTATTTATTTTGAGTTTATTTATCGTTAATAAGCATATTTTGTTGTTGTCCGTTTTACGTATGCAAATGTTGTATCATATTGCAATACAAATATCTTAATTTCATTTAATAGAATCAACCAACATCATAATTGCCAATTTTTGGTATGAATATTATTATTGTTAACAAATATTAATAATAAATTTGAACAACAAACATAAGATATATTCCTCGATTGAAATATATAGTATGAATTATAGTTATTATTGGTTTTTTATTTTTATTATTATTATCTAATTATCAAGTATATAGGTAATTGCTACTTGCAATTTTTATTACAAAATTTATTATTATTAAATCATCTTTATTATTAAAAGTACATTTACATTGTTCATGTAAAAATAATATTATAATTGTTAATATAATTGTCGATTAATTTTTTATTCATTGATTTTATGAATTTTAATGAATTTGAAATATGTTAGTTAATAATATCATTTTGAGCAACTTTTTCTTTAAATAATAATATATTTCAAATTCATTAATAACAAAAGAAAATTAATCGGCAAATTCTGATTTGTTTAATATAAAAATAATTATTGTTTTGATAATTATTCAGAAAATGAAAAATCGTCCATTTCTTATTAACTTATGTATTTAATGATTTATTTTGATTTATATGATTATGTTCTATAATTTCAAATAAATTATCTATTTCTAAAATAAATACGAAAAATAAAAGATCAAAGTGATTTCTCTTAAGTTTTCTTTAAAAAAAAATCAATTCGTTTTAATTCGTTTTTATTTTCTCGTATACTTTTACAAGATGTTTATAAAAATATAAACATATTTGGAAAATTGTTTTTAGATAAATTAAAACGAACACAAAAGTTTATATGAAAAATGTCGATTACAACTTATTTTTTAAATTATAAGTAATTTTTAGAAATATTTGATCTGTTTGCAAAATTATATTGTAAAATTGCTTATCTCGCTTATCAGATTTATCAATTAAGAAGAATATATATAACTTTGTGCATACAGGTTACGTAAAAAAGTATTAAATTTCAATAGAATTCGCTTATGTATCTAAAATTATTTATCTTCTTAATAGAGAATCTAGCTTGGCAAGTGATAATCATGATCATAATAATCATGTAAAATATTATCAACCTGACTGAACTATTTCATTTTGTCTCTGTATGTGCAAATACATGTAGTGCAAAAATAATTCAAATTGCATAATTCAAAATATAAATTCCAATCGATATTTTTATATATCAATTTTTGTATATATTTTGATGTCTAGAATTATAATTATCTATTTTTATATTATATTTTTATATATATCTATATATATATATAATTTTTATTTTTTTAAAATTCTCAAGACATTTTCGAAGTTTCATTTTGATCAATCTCTTGTTTTTGTCAATATTTTAAACAAAATTTTAGAAATTATCTGAAATTTAAGATCATAGAAATTTATAATATATAAATCATATAAATCAAATAATAAATCATTAAAATAACAGTCATTTTTTAAATAAATATCAATTATTATTTGGATTAAATTCAAAGTATTAGAAATTACTAGAAATTATTAGAAATTAATTTATCTTTTTAGAAATATTTTATTTAAGATTATTATATAAACAGAATTTATATTAAGGTGTTACTTTTTAAAATAAATATATACTGTTGTTTAAATCAGGCTCAATATATTATCGTGTAAATATTGAAAATTATAAATCTCCTTTATACTACTCATTAGAAATAAATTATCATCTTCAACAGATATCGACGAATGCGCGGAGGGTTTGGATTCTTGTGAAGGTGAGATCTGTTATAATCAGCCGGGTGGTTATAGCTGTGCGAAACTTCCAAAACCAAGAACTAGGAAGCCACCCACGACAGCCTTACCACTACCAAAGAATAAGAAGTGTATCCCTGGAACGAAATTGGTTAACAATCGCTGCGTCGACATCGATGAATGCCGTGAAATAGAGGATGCATGCAGTAGTAACGAGGAGTGCATCAACACTGTAGGAAGCTACACGTGCGAGTGCAAAGTTGGTTTTCAACGTGAGAATTTGACTCAAGCCTGCGTGGATATTAACGAGTGCCAAACACAGGTATGATCTTCCAACAATGATATAATAATGATATCAGATAGTAGAATCTTTATAAAAGATGTGTAAAATTTTCTTTAAATTATAGTTCTTGTAATGTTTAGAATTATATTCTCTAAAGGTAAGTGTTCAAAACTGCTAAATAAAAATTGCCAATTCCTCTCGAAAGTATTTAAAAGGATACAGCATTGAGAGTGACTGTTCGAGGATATTACTCAATTGGTTTTATTCTTAAATAGATATAATTATAAGATTTGAATAATGGTTGAAACAAGCATGATGTAGCTTATAATGTGGAATAAGATGAAAATGAGAAAAATAGTATAAATCTATTTCCAGTGATTCTAACTTTTATGGGAAGAAACTCTCAAAGGCACATATCTTAATTGAAAAACTTATTTGAAAACTTATTTGTAAAGTTGATTTCATTTCATTCACCATGAAAATCAAATCGAAATATAAATTTACCTTCGATTAAATTATTTTCCACGTGTCTGGAAACGATATAATTGAATCAATTCGATTCTAAAGAAAAAGATAAAATTTTTAATTATGCAGGTTTCATCTTATTAAAATTTTCGAATAAGATATATTATTGCTACTTTTAAAACTGGAGGGTAATTAATCTTGTTTTCTTATATATTTGTTTTATACATATTGCTGTTAATTATCATCACGTAATATGGTGTAACGATTTATAATTTTATGTTATTGTTTATATAAAATATATATCAAAATAAAGAAGAATTGAGTCTTGACACGAAAAAAATATCAATTTTTTTTAATAAAAATTAATTTAATATCTTTTATCCAAACTAGTTTAGTTGAATTTATTGGATCTTGAATATTTATTGGATTTCTAAATATAATAAACAAAAAAATAATATAAAATAATATAGCAACAAAATACCATTAAATGACTTATGAATTTTTCTTTCTTTGAATTTTTATAATTGTAAAAATATTAATTCTTCCATAATATTTTAGAATTTATTAAATTTATCTTATTCAAAAACTTCATTAAGATGAAAACTTGATATGATAACTCGATAATTTTTACTAAATTTTTATCTGAATTTGACTCGTTTAAATTTTATTCAAAAAAAAAAATTCTTTTCGCTTACAAAAATTCTTCTCAAGTTAAACATCTTAATCTTTCGATAATTTTTTTTATCAAAATTTGACAATCATTGTGTTTCATTGTTTGTCATTTAAAAAAAAAAAAAAATATTCAACATTTGACCGAACAGTAAAATTTTATTTCTCTTTTATTAATCTTTATAAGACAAAAAAAAAATAATTATTTTCAATTGCCACTATTCGTTTGAAATCGCATTTAAAATGTACTTCATCTTGTTATAGACAGATAGCTGTACGCAAGGACAGAGATGCGACAATACCATAGGTAGCTACACTTGTACTCGTTATCTATCGTGTGGCACAGGATACACTCTAAATGCCGCCACCGAGATTTGCGAAGACGATGACGAGTGTCTCCTTGGAACACACGATTGCGGAAAGGGTTATCACTGCAGGAACACGCTTGGCTCTTATCGATGCGATCGTAACCCACGTGTATTGGTTTTAGACTCTCGATTCGATATCGCGACAACCACAACCGCTAAATTAACATCAGTTGCGTCTACTACTTCGTTAACATCACAGGAACAGATTAACTGTCAACGTGGATTTGAAGCTGTTCCTGGGGACAAGTGCGCGGATATAGACGAATGTGAAAAAAATCCTAATATTTGTGGCAGAACGATGAGGTGTTTGAACACTCTTGGATCTTATAGGTATGCTGTTTGATAAATATAAATTTTATAGATATGATATATTTTATGGTTTTGAAATAATTTTTTGAAATTAATTTATCGGAGAAGTTTGGTTTTCAAATTAATGTATGGAATGTATTAAAATATATAATTAATAATTCGTTATTTATTATTTTTTAAAAGAAAAATTATTTTAAAAATACATTATTAAATATAAAAATATTTACAATTATTTTAACAAGAGATCAATGTGTTGATTTACTTAATGTCGATAAGATTGATACTTTTCTAATCAATATTATATTATACAACGATTTTTAATTATTTCATTTGCCCGTTCAATTACAATTAATCTCTACAACATTATTTATAGATAATAAATATTAAATATTCTTATAATCAGATAAGACAAAATTCAAAATCAATTTCTAAATTTTACAATTCATATTTCAGATGCGTGTCTAAAGTATTGTGCAGTAGCGGATATACTTTGGATCCAGTATCAGGAAGATATTGTATCGATATAGATGAGTGTGCGAATGGTACTCACGAATGCACCGCCGATCAAACTTGCATGAATAGAATAGGTGGTTATGTTTGCTCGTGTCCATCTGGGCACGTCGTTGGACCGAATAAAGATTGCATCGATATCGATGAATGTAGCCTTTATGGAAACATATGCGGATCAAACAGTCAATGCGAGAATACCGTTGGTTCTTTCAAATGTAACTGCGCAAATGGTTTTGAACATGTTAGTAGTAGTTTCGCTGGTAATACTTGTCAGGTGAGTTGTACATTTTTACATTTTAATTCCTCCATTTGAAAAATTGAATCTTTCTGATTATTAATCTTTTAGTGCAAGAAATATTCAAAAATATAGTCAAAGATGTATTATACAGGTGTATTCACTACGTGAGTCAATTAATACGTAAACTTACTTGGACCCAATCTCTCAATTCGTCGAATAAATTTTAATGTAATTTTTTAAGTACATTTTTCACTTCGCCATATGTATCAAAACGATTTTCAATCGTATTTCTTCATTCGAAAAAGTATATAAATTATATGTAGTTATACATCTAAAGGATCATGAATGATAATTTTTTTTATAAGCATTCTTTCACTCAGATCTTCCATATAGTATAAAAAAATTAAAAAAGTCTATCTTGGAAGTATTTTAATTGAAAATATTACGTATTGAGGAAAAATTTAATGGTTATTGAAAGTCGGACATAAATTTATTTAAATTTGAATTAATCGAAAATTGAAAAGTTCTTGTTATAGGTAATTATAAATTCTCAATAGTTTGAATTTATGAGGTTTATATTGATAAAAAAGATATTTTTCATTATATATATTTCATACAATATATAAGAATTACGAAATGATATCTAAGTACCCAAATTATTTGGAAAAAGCTGTGAATCCAAATATCCATAATTTTATTTATTTATATAAATATATACAATGACTTTATTTTTAAAAATTTTATATTAACATTTGGATTGTAGTACCACTACTATTCTTATAATATAATTTAGTTATATATTTTAGTTATATAAATATATTTATTTAGTTATATATTTAATAAGTTAGTTATATATTTTAACTCGGATAATATTTTTAAACAAAGAAATTATTTTGTTTATTATTTTCTTATTTTGATTTTTTTATTTTATTTCAGGATATCGACGAGTGTGCACGAACACCTGGTTTGTGCCAACATACGTGTTTCAACACATGGGGGAGTTACAAATGTATCTGTAAATCTGGATTCAGATTGAATCCCGACAATCGTTCTTGTACAGATATCGACGAATGTACAGAGTTTAAAGATAACAACTTATGCGTAGGGATTTGTGAAAATACACCAGGCAGTTATGCTTGCAAATGTCCAGATGGTTACAAGCTTGGGCATAATGGCCGTACTTGTGAAGGTATACTTTTTACATTTATTGATTAATTATACATATTATGCAAAAGATATAATTACAATGATAATAATAAACAAATAAATTGTTGTGCAAAAAGATGTAGATATGTGGATCAAAAAAATAAATTTTCAAATTACCAATATAATTTTAATATGAGAAATGTTACATATATTGGATATATTTAATTAAAAAATTTTAAATACGTCATATGCAAGAATTTTTTCTTGGCTATTGAATATTCAAATAAAACGGGTATCATATTCTCAGTATTTTATCAACGCGTCGTATATCTTCATTATCTCGCAATTACCTATTATATTTTGTACTTGACCTAATCATTAAAAAATTGAGATCATTAAAATTTAAATTGTTTGTCCTTGACTTCCTTAGAATCTCTTCACAACTAGTAACAATTAGAATGTAAATATTTATGTACAATAAATTTGTAGAAATATATGTTATATATCTAAAACTATATGTTAAAAGTAAATAAAAATATATCAATATTACACATACACAATATATATGGGTATAATTCTATAATGTTAAAATATTATTTAATATTTAATATAAATAATATTAATAAAAAATATATTTGTATCTTTCTAATCATATAACAAACTTATATCTAGATTTCATTTTCCAATTTTTATTTTATATATGCTATATATATATATATGTGTATATAGACATAAATATAAATTTTGTGCATTAAATATTCGCATTCTAATTAGAATATATTGCAATTATTATTATTTTCTTTTAAATAATTGATCGTTTCAATCTTTTTTCAAGATATCGATGAATGTCAAGCTGGACATATCTGCAGAGAAGCAGATGAAATTTGTCACAACGTCAGAGGTAGTTATCGTTGCAATAAAATAAAATGTCCCAACGGATACCATCGTGATCATGAAAGAAAAAAGTAAGTATCTATCTATCTTTTTGGAGACTTAATTTATAATAAGAAATATTATCCTTGAAAATAACTTGCATAACTTAAAATAATTTGCATTCGTAAAATAAAATAAGAAACACATTCTTGAAGTAAAATTAATAAAAATATATACAAAATATATATATATATATATACACACAAAATATTAATATATTCATCAATTAATATTTTTGAAAAATCGATTCTTAGATAGAGCTTAAAAAAACAAAAATCGATATACAAAAATATTTATCGAGGCTTATTTATTAAGTTAGCAAGCAATTTATGCTTGCGTTAGATGAAGGGAAACGAAAATACGATAAAATTTTTTATTCTATCTTCGTTACACTTTATTTAAAAAACTTAAATTGTTTTTAACTTATAATTATATATTCGAGACTGATTAAAAATCATCAGACTAAAAATCGAAGAGAATTTCTAATGGTGGATATTGATTTTTTATAAGTATAAAAAACAATTTTAAAATGACGAAAAATGCAAAATAAAATCCAAAATGATTATACACATTGATAACAACACTTATATTAAAATGCGTAAACAAAAGAAAAGCTGATTACATCGAGAATTTTCTTTCATTTTTTATACTTTTTAAAAAAATTTAAATTCAATTCCCATAGAATAAGAAATTTCTATAATGGATATACTATCGTTACTCAAATGTGTTGATAAATAATAAAAAGCTTTTTAGAATTGATTTTCAAAAGGTGAATATAATAATACAAATATATAAATATAATAATATACTTATTTATCAGAATATTTAATTAGAATATTTTATAAACAATATTTATAAAAATACTAGTATATTTGAATATATTATAGTATCGCTCAAACAAATTTTTGCTACTTGAACGCTATTAATATAATATTATTTAAAAAAATAAAGTAAATCTTAGACGACCAAATTAATTAATGATTAAAATTTAAATATATCGAATTTTACAAATTAATAAATTATCCAGACATCGATGATTCACGAAAAATTTATATTAATCGATTGTGAAAATCAACTATTTTTTGTTCTTTATTTTAAAAATCGTTCATTTCCGTGAAAAACGATCATGATTTTCATGGTTTTAGCAAACATCAGAAAATTCTCGAAACGATAAATTTGAGCTTAAAAATCTTGAACGATACTATAGTATAATCAGAAATTAAATCAATTAATTATTGCATAAACTAATTATGTTATAATAAATTATTGAAATTTTAGCCGATGCGTGAGATCATGGCCATGTCGTATCAACGATCATGCTTGCATTAGACAACCATCGCATTACTCATATAATTTCATCACTCTTGTAAGCATGTTACCTGTCATGCCAACCAGACCGGAAGAACTATTTAAAATGAAAGGATATCACCTGCCAGGCTCTGCGATACAATTCAGTATGGCGTTCTTGGAAGCACGTGCGCCACCTGGAATACAACGCGCCACAGAATCGTGTTTCGCATTGAAAAAGCCTGAACCGACACAAGCTGTTTTAGTATTGACACAAAGTATTCAAGGCCCTCAAGAAATCGAGCTCGATTTAAACATGGAGGTTTATCATAATACACATTTCGCCGGAAGCGCAATAGCGAAAATTTTGATTTTTGTTCTCAATACGAATTTTAATGGATTCTTATGAAATACGAATGGAGAAATATTTAAAGAAATATTTGAATTGATATTTGTTCTTTGTATTAAATTCTTAATATAATTTTAACGAATTTGCAAGTATTTTATTTTAATTATTTTGTAAAGTAATCTTTTGTTGTTTATTCACATTTCAAATTTAATTAAGTTGTTGCGAAAAAAAAAATAAATAAATAAACGAGAGAATTGAGTTTTTGATAAAAATTTCAATATTTCTATAGCTTTATTCACAATGATATTAATCAAAGTATCTTCATTACGACTGGATGATCATGATTCTGGAAAAGAATCTTTAATTGATCTTTTGTCAATAATATCTTATTTTCAATATTCGTATTATATTCTTCAATTTTTGTTTACAATAATAGGTTATCTATTTTTTTAATGTTAGTTTTTCGAAAAATACGTATATGTAATAATAATATTGTATTTGGTTAATTTCAAATAATTATAAATATTATTTAATTACTAAATTACTAAATTCGAAACATTTAATTACTAATTTCTAAATGATTTTATATTGCAAAATCAAATATTTCATAATTAAAAAAAATAATTATGTAATATAGTAGAACATTATTGGAACTAATTGGAATAAATTCGTTCAGATAAACAATACTTCGGATCATTGGTCAAGAAGAACGAAATTTATTAATATGTTATGGTATAATTAAAAATTAAAATTTTCAAATATACGTGTTTACTTTTATTAATGTATTGTAAAAAAATAAATTAATCGTTTTTATATATCGTTCCAGGATATGTGTTCCAGAATGCAAATGTATTCTAAATTAATGTATTCTAAATATTCACTCTCTATTCAGATAATCATTTATTTGATAATTAACTGTTTCACTGTAAAATATAACTAAATATTCTGATCCATATTTAAGAAATATATTTACGATTTTATTATATCATTTAAATGAAATTTAATATGATTAATAAGATTTTATGAGTTTCTTTAAAACTATATCTGTAAACCATCACGCTACAATTATATTATTTTTTTTTTCTTATTTTATCGCATCTATTTCTATTAACAATTTATCATACTTAAAATCTTTTAAGTAGTATTTTCCCACGTTTAATGTACAAAGAGAAGTGTTAGGAGTAGCTGTAAAAAAGTAAAACGAATCATAACGAATGGGGCAATAATTTTACTTTATATTTTGGGTAAATAAGTCGATAATTATATGTACATAGAATATATTTGAGTTTGTACACGTGAGAAGATGAAATAAAATCACATAAATCGTTTTAAATTAAATTTTCATTTATCTTGTAAATGTGTACCTTATCAAAATCGTAGTTCTATAACACGCTTCAATAACGAAACGTTTGATTTCGTTGTATCTAACAATAAATCTATTGCTGACAATCATAATTTATGTACATATTACAGCACTTTTTAAGAAAAATCTATCGTATTCGACATCTATCTAGCTGTCTAAATAAAAAATGACAATCGTATATTTATTTCTAAAATGTCCACACGTCTATTGTGATACAAGTGATTTTAGTACACTTTCGCACAAAAGCCATAGAAAATCATAATATATTTATGCTCGAAAATTAGATGATTATCGATAAATATTAATTTACGTATTTTTATATATAACGAAGAAAATATAAGATATAAATCAAAAGTGATCTTGCTTGGTTATTTTTCATTATTAATTATTATATAAAAAAAAAAAAGGATCAATCAAGGAAATGATTTATAATAAAAACTAAATATTTATTAATGATGCAAGTTCTATTCTAAGACTTTTGAGTGAAAGTGTATATTATTATTGATTTTAATGATTCGACATACATACATACGATATGTAAACATATATTTGTATCTTTTTTGTTGCGTATCTAAATATTTGATTTCTTCCCTTTATAAGATGCATAGCTTAATTTATCTTGAGATCTTCAGCATTACGTAACCTTCAGTTGCAACCGCAGCGTGAATTGCGATATAAAATATCGATAAAAAAATAGAATAAAGTTTATAGAATATAGAATTGGTGTCGAAGCAATGATACATTATTTATATGGATATGCAAATAATCATTAATAATAGTTGCATTAACAATTAATACGATTGAATATTTATAATCGATGCTTGAACTTATATTGATATTTATAATAAAAATGAAGATAATAATGATAATGATAATGATAATAATATTTTAATATGTATATATATATATATATATATAATAAGTTTTCTTTCTTTTGAAGCCTAAATTTTTTATTATCTTCGAAACTCTCGAAATTCGGTTAAAAAATAATATAATTTATGCATCTAATAAACTAATAATAATCGAATTAATTTTAGAAAACCATCTTAAACAATTTCACAAATCTTAATTTGTTATATTAAATTATCGAGAAAAATACCACAAAAATTAATTTTTTGCTAATTTATCGATAAAATTTAATAATTTAATAATTTTAGAATTTTAAGATTTTAAGTTCTTAATAAAATAGAATATCCTTAGGAAAAACAATATTCTGGATTTCGAGAATTTTAAGATTTCTAAGAATCTAAAAACTCAGATTTCGATCCATCAATAATTTTAACAACTTAACGATATTAATAATTTTAAATGTGCACAGGAGAATCATCGATGTTGTAAATTATTAAGTGAAGTGAATAATTGAAAAATGATTCAAAACAGTTGGAAGTTGGATATTATAGGCTTATGAAATATATTAAAATTCAGAATGCACAATTATTTCTTCTTGAAGCAATTTAATCGAACAACAGAGTTTTAAAAAGTATATAATATGTATGTATAATTGAAGCAAAAATTATTCTATAAATACAGATCCACAGGATCTGATCGAAATCAGAGATCGAAATCAAAAGTCCTTGTAAATGCGAGCAACACATTTACAATTTGCTTATAAATATCTATACGTATGCATATTCGATTTACAATGTGATAACGATTTGATCAAACACTCATAAAATTCATTACTTTTAAATTTTTTAAAGGAGAAATAATTCTTATTTTTAAAATCTATCTAAACTTTGGGCATTTAGGCCCACGCTATCGCAGACAAATTGAACAACTAAATTCAAATTTTAATTGCTGGAAACGCGATTTATCACAAGTATATATTTCTGGCAATGTATGAAAAATGGGGGAAATGTGTGAATCTATTCATGTCACAAAAGAATTATTCTTGAGCTGCAGTTGTATAGATACTTTACGTAGACGTATTTTACATATTTGCTTGTTAAAAACAATTATCTTCTTTCGCATTGCCGTTCATTTTTTTTTATCCTATTATTATTAACATTGCATGTGAGATCCTTGTTAATGAGTTTCTACGATAATTATAGATGCTTTCCATTGTTTGAATTCATTGAAATATTTTCATATGTCCAATGAAAATTGTTTTTTAAACCGATGCTATATATAATTTTCGTCATATCTTTATATTCTTATTTGTTCATTTCTTGCTCGTTTACATGAAATTATTGAAATTTAATCAATTTTGCTATTTTTTTTTTACATACGAATGCTGTATGAATATAATATTTTGAAAGCAACAATATTAATCGATTTTTAAGGAAAGCATCCACGGCAGACTTTATAAAGGAATTATCATTAACAATATTAATGCACAACGATATTAACAAGTATACTTATAATAATTATAATATATAATGGTAATATACAGGGTGCGGTACAAAGTTGCAACGATATACGAATTAATTTTTAGAATTTAACAAAAAAATTGTTTCAAATTCATTAAGCGAGGAATTTATTAATATAAAAACATGTTTTGAAAATATCATATCATATAAAATAAATATCATGAATAATTTTTTAAAATAGGCGTACATTTAAATGGAAACAAATAAATGATGTTGTATATCATAATTAAAATTAAATTATTACAGGATGTAGTAATTGAAACAATACAATATTATTCTTTTATTCAATTTAAAAAGAAGAAAAAAAAAAAGATATAATGCTATTTGAAAAATACAAAATAACGTTACTTTTTATAGAAAATATTTTCAAAAATATTTTCATATAAATGAAATTGAAAACACGAAGGGAAAATTAATTTTCCCTTGTGAAAATATTTTATCGAAGTTTTCGAATAATAAAATTTTAACAATTAAAAATTCATCACATAAAGATTTCGTAAAAGGATTAAACGAGTTGATATCTAATCTTTTTAAATTCACTCGAATTACTCAAAATATTTATTTCCTTTTTTTTTTTTTTTTTTTTACAAATTATTTTTCATCTGAATTTTCATCTGAGTTTCAAATCACAAAAATAGTGAAAAGTTTCAAGATTTCTAATTTTCAAATAATACAATATCAAATGGTCAGTTAATAGATTCTGATACATAATTATTTAGTTATTCTGAAGTTGCATAAAATAACATATTTAAACATGAATTAAATATTTAAAATTGTAAATTTACATTTTGATATATAGAGATTTTTACAATAAAATGGGGAGGAAGAATTGTAGTTTTATAGAAATTTTCAAATTATAAAAGTTCGAACTATTCTGTACATAATAACAAAAAAAATATTCTCATTTAAAACAATTTTTTGTTAAATTCTAAAAACAAATTTAAATATCGTTATAATCCATTTATCTCGCACACATGTAATGTACACACATATAATAATATATGTATATATGTATATGTAATAATATATATATATATAATATATATATTATATATATAGAATAGTAGTAATGTATTACTACTAATAATGATAATAAATAGCGTTATCTAATGTAACAGCCTGAATGCAACAACAACGTTGTTGCGGCGTTAATCGATGACAGTGTTGATACACTCTTCACTCTTATTCTATCGATAAAATGAAAGATGATCTTGACTAGGATCACTAAAAAATCTTTAAATCTATCAATTAAGCAGGTGCGAACAATTCCAAGCTTTAGACGTTTTAGTCAATTCTCTTAATGTTATCAGATTATTTTAATAGTCAGAATTAAAAAAAATTAAGAATTTTAAGATATAAAAGATATAACTTAGCAATATCTTAAGCATGGAAAATAATTTAAATAGTTGTACTAATTTATAAATAAAAATTTATAAATTTCAATTCATGTTATCTTTATAAATTTTTGAATTCATATTATAATTGTATGATTATATATAAATTTTACAACATATTATTATAATAAAATTTTTAATCCGTATTAAAAAATAGTTAATTACATAATAATAATTGCTAAAATTAAATTTAACAAGCATTAATTTAACATTTGAATATCCCTTGAATTAACAATAATTTTCGTTTTTTCTTATATATTGTTTATTAATTTTGCGTATTGATTTTGATAGTAAAAATTTTAAAAATATAAAATAAAAAAACATCATTGACAGAAAAAGATAAAGAATTTGGCACAAATGTTAAAATTTTTTAAATCACACTTCATGTATTATTAAAAGTGATAAGATTTAAATGTTCTCGCACAAATAATTGATTTTTTTTTAGATTAATTATTTAAATTTACATATGTAATTTGAAAAATCGATTTGAATATTGTTCGGTACAATTATCTAATTCGCACTTGCTTATTTTTTTTAATAATTTATCATATAGGCGCCAAACGTGTAACAATTCTGAACAATTGAGTATAGAATTATATCAAAAACATGTCAAAACGGCACTTTATAAATGTAATTCGTATTTGTACGTGTACATATCGTACTTTTTATTACATTTTGCTATTTATCATGATTTAAGCATTTACTGTATCAAGTTTTTTTTTTTTTAATATGAGTACACAGTCTATTAATTCACTACTTTATTTAGTCCTCAAAAAAAATATATATATATTTTATTAACAACATAATCGATTAAATTTTAAAATAATTGAAAAAATATTTTTTTACTTTGTGAAGTTTTTTTTGGTTTATTTTTTTTTTTTTAATAAAATTGAAATTGTGTATTAATTTATTAACATAAAAATATTTTTAGAATTTAAATGCGTTAAAAAACGCAAAAATATTGTGTCGGTCAGTCAATAAAGAAAAAAAAAAAATAAAACTTTTAAATCTTAACGAGGACTAAATATACATAGATATATATTTTTAATAGATGAGCAATCGAAATGTTTGGCACCAAATTTATTGATATAAAAGATTGTTTTATGTACGATAAATATCCAGATGTTTTAAATACAAAATAAAGGCACATTAAAAAATGATTTTCTGAAATAAAATGTGTACTCTTTAAAAAACTATTTACTATAAACATAATCTAAAAGATAAATAATTGAAAGATATAGGCGCTATATTATAGTAAGCCAATATAATTGGTCCATTTAATGTTATATTTTTCACTGCTACTAGCATCAAACATAGATGCAATTTGAAATAATTTGTATCAGGATTGTTCAACTATAATGCCTTATTTTATTTTATATGATTTAATTTTTTCAAAAAATCATCTCTATTTTTTTCAAATTGATCCAAAATCTTAATTTACATTACAAACAGGCTTTTATTTATAATATAGGCACTTAGAATGTGAACATTTAGGATTTCACTCGTTTTCCTTAATAAATAATCCATTTAAAAATACGCTTGTACCATTATTTTCTTGTTGTTTACATTTTTTTATCATAAACTATTTATTCTTTCCATTTTTGTATATTTTGAAGATAATTTTTTTACAATTTTATTTTTATTGTTAATATATACATATCATATGTATATATTAACAATGATCAAAAGCACAAAGTCGAACAATCCTGATCTAATTTTTCACAAAGATAACAATATTTGCACTATGATATATATTGTCTATATTAAAACAAAATTTAAATTTTTAAAAAAACGTCCATGGTATTCATATTATTCGTGATAGTATGATAGAAGCATACTGATTCTTATTTCATTATTATATTATTTAGATTAAAATCGACTATAAAATAATATATATTGTGTTATCACACAAATTGAAATTTGTTAACAATTGAGTACACAAATATCGTAAAAATCAAATAATTATATAATTATCAAAAAATATGACTATGCATGTTGCACAATATGTTGAGATTACTCATCAAACAAATTTAAAAAATATATATATGTAATGTTTAATCATAAACATCTAAAGTATCTGGATAATTTTAGTTAAAAAAAAATAAAATATATATATATATATATATGTATATAAGTTATGGCTAAAAAGCAACTAATTATTTTTTTTTGAATATTGGAAAATATTATTATAAATTTTAAAGCACTATAAACCACGGCGTATGTAATTTATACTTATGTAGAATATGTAAACTAATAAACAAATAAAAAAATAATAAAACAATATTATTGACTTATTGATGCTCTTTCCCATTTTGAATAAACAAATTTTTAATTTGTGTGTTGATTATTTTCAATAGATATATAAAATAGCTCAATACAATATTAGTATAGCAACTTATTAAATTAATAACGAATGTAACCAAAGTTACTTACATACACATTGCGTTTAATATTATATTATTTTGAAATTATATACTGTGCGAATATCGTTAACGAGGCATTTGCGATTCTTACAGAATGTGACGTAACGGAACTCGTTCGATACTAAACTTTATACATGTATAATATGTATAATAATGTATAATATACATTATCAATTGTTTTATCAATTGTTTCTAGATTTCCGTTGTTTGTAATTAAAAGTATATAAAAAATTATTTAAGAACAAAAAATATTTGCGGCCCTCGTTTTGTATATTTATATTAAAGTGTCTTACAAAACGTAATATATCACAACTTTGTTACATTTTGTAAAAAAAAGAAAAAAAAAAGGAGATATAATTCATTGGAAAATTCAAACATTTATTCTCAAATATCTAACTAATAATGTCTTTCATTTAGCTGCACTCAAAATGTTTTGAATTTTAATGAATTTATATAAACTCAATTCATAAGAAACAGTCGAATAAATATTCTAAGCTGAAATAGTTTAGAATAATTGCTTTTTATATGACAACGAAAAACTTCTTACTTTTCAAATTCCCAATTTTATATTTTTATAATTCTTCTAATTTATTAATTTTATCATATAAAAATATATATTACATATGTATTATAATATCATTCGCTATTTTAAATACTTCATTTATTAACTTCATTATATGGCAATATGTTGTGTTATGCGTATATACACATGTGCTTTTATATATAATTTTTTTTTTTTTGGAATATTCAAATATTTTTTTAATGTGTCGAGAATTCATTGTGATAGAAAATTCTTCTTCTGAAATTAAATTTTTTAATAACACAAATAAAATTTGTTTCTAAGAATATATCATATATCTATTAATACGTTATACATCATAAATATTTTTCTATAAAAGTCATATTGGTGTATGTTTTGAAACTCGTATAGTTTCAAATATTAACAAAAAAAGAAAGATTTTATAATATTAATGAATTTTGAATTAAGAAATTAAATAAATCTCGCAAAACGATAGAATTAAATTTGTACAAGAAAGAAAAATAAAAATGTATGTAAAAATGATTTATTTTAAATAATTTTTAAGAAAAGAAACGAATTGCAAATAGAACGAGTGCAGCTAACTGAACAAACATAGATTCTATAAAACAAATTTCAATCGTTCAACGAATAATGCGTCTTACGTCTTATCTTTGTTGGTCAAGCGATTGTGTTATTATGCATTTCTGCAAATTCTCTGGATACTTTGTAAACATAATATAAACGCTCGTAGAGATCTGTTGTACAACCAAAATCTCGTATATCATTTAACCAATACGAAGATGTACGTCTACTGGTATCTATATATGTAATCAGATATCCCTTGTTAGGAGATTCTTGTGAGACTACCAATTTCGTGTGATCCTCGAAGAAATTCACTTGTAAAAGTGGTACCGATAGTTCCATCATAATGGTCTTATCAGTTCTTAACCACCTTCTCATTCGTGGCACACAAACATTCTTCGACTGCTTTGGTGTAACTCGGTGTTTCTTAATTTCACCACCTTAAAACACATTATTAACAATTATTAATTATACAGTTACTAATAATATTAATAATAACCGTACTATACATGTTTATACAATAAATAATATATAATTATAAATTTTAACAAGAGTAAAATCTGAGTTCAGAGAATCAAAGTTATTTTTAAAAAATACTGATTCTTTTGTTTCATTTATCTCTCGTTTTTCGTTCACAATGTATAATAATTTTTTTGTTTATAATTAAAAGCAGTTATTATAACAATTTACAGATAATTATCCAGTTTTCCAATTTTGGTTATTTCATTATAGTTTTTTTTTTTAATTAACTTTAAATTACCACTTTATTTTATTACATTATCTACACTATAACGAGAAATCAATCGATAAAATCAAAAAAAAAATAATGTACGTTTTGTCATTTAAAAAAAACTGGTATTGCATAGAATTTTGTTTTTACGAAATTTACTTAATTTTAATTTAAAATTAATTTAAATTTTTTTAATTTTATGTACATGTATAATTGTGTGTGCGTAAGCATACAATTACCAATTATCTTTTATTAATGTTATATGAATTTAAATTTAATAATCAACATTATGCAATGTTATTAATATTTAATTATAAAAAAGTTTTTGCATTCTACGAATTTTTCGAATATATTTTAATTAAAAAATAATAAAATAATTAAAAAAAATTATTCCAATATATTGCTTTTTTTTGTATATAATTTTAAAATTTATATATATATATATGCATATTATTTAAAATATATAATATGAAAAATTATAAATTCAAATAGACATAGATGTATTTGCAAAGAATTTCTAGTAATAATGATTTGCATTGATTTATGTGTATACATAAGATTATATTATATTTAAGATTTATGGTGACAATGATGAAATTAGCATGAACACCATCAATAATATGTATAAAATATTACTTACCTTCAGTCATAAATTTGTCCATATACTGTGTGAAACGTTGCAATAATACAAGTTTTTTCTGCAGAGCAGCTGGAACATCTTCTTCTTTTTGATATCTTGTTACTTCATCATCGGTTGTCACGTACTCCACTCTTCTTTGCAAATAAAAATGTGTTATTGAATATGTTAAACATTGCATAACAAATATTTAATCCTCTACAGTATAATTCTCTAAATATCACTATTAGCTTATATCTTTCTTATTTTAAATTTCTCTGGATATCAAACTATCATTTTAAATAATTTGAAAAAATAAACATTATAATTGTTGTTTAATTATCTTATTGAATTTTAAATATCAAAACAATATTAAATATTAAAAATATGTCAAAACAAATTTACTTTAAACAATTAAAATGTATAATGTCAAGAAAAAAAAAAAAATACCGACCTTCTGTCATGTGTGTAACTGATTTTCGTATGATCGTTGAAGAGGATGCCTACAGATTTGTCAGATAATTGAAAACCTAGGCCGTATTTATTCGAATAATCAATCCATTTAGTGATAAACAGAGGTACGATATCCCTTACAGGTGGATGATTACGTATCTTGTTTTTACACTTTATTTCTTTGATGCAATTTTCTAGTGCATGATGTATTTGTATACTCTGAGCTGTGGATCCAATAATTTTTTTCTGATCTGGACAAAGAACACTGCTTAATCTTTGTCTGAATTTCGGAACTTTCCGAAGCTTTCTAGCTAACCAACTGATCACTTTCGATCCCTTTCGTAAACTTTTCTGAGAAAGATTTGTTTGATGATGTTGCTGTTGCTGCTCCTGCTGTTGTTGAGACTGTTGAATAGTATGAACCTGTAATTGCAATAAAAAATATTGATTAAATTGGCTGAATGAAATAATATTATATTATCAATGAAAATTAATGTTAAAAAATAGAAATTAAAGATTATTGAATTTTTAATTTATAAATTTTCAAATTTATGTATATGTACATGATACGAATGTAATTTCATTTACAATTTATTTACAAGTACATTTTAAATGAAATTTATACGATCATATCTATATATTATATATATATATATATTCATTAATGAAATGAAAATAAAACTTTTTATTTAAAATCAATAATTTCAATTAAATATTTTTGTTTTAACAACAAAAGTGCAGAAATAACAAATAATTGAATATGATTATTAATGATTATTTACTTATTGTAAAATAATATATTTCATTTAAAAATTTATTTATCTTTTTAAAGTTATAATAATATGGATTTGGCAATGATATTTTGTGTGCTATTGAATTTTAAATATTAACTTCAAATGTCGTTTTCCATAATTTCTTTTTTCTGTTTTCCTTAAAATCTTGTTATTAATAATTAATTTTTTTTATGCAAAATTTTTTAAATTTTCTATCGTTATGTAATTTATATAAAAATACTTATATTACATACTCATATATTTATACTGAGTATATATATATTCATATATTTATATACTTTTTAATCTTATTTTAGCTAAATATTTATTACTGTATTATTTCATTACAATAATCTTAACATCTTTAATATCGAATACTTTATTTTTAATAATTATTAGTTTCCATTTTTCGAATTAAAATGAAAAATTATAATATAATTATTTTTATTACTGAAATATTTTTATTATTTAAATTCGTTACAATCATTTTTTTTTTTTTTATTTTTTGCGGTCTCAAATATTTCTGAAGTGAGATCTGACCTTTTAAAGTTACTGCTGACTATCGACCATTTTATATATCTACTGTATCTACGGAACTGGAATTTCATCTCATATTACTTTGCACAATCTTCTGAAACTGAAAGTTTCGTGTTCTATTTCTCATAGAAAGTTTACATAATTTCATTTTAAATAAATTCTTATCCTAACCTGCCAATGTTTTCTTTCTAAATATTATATTATTTCTTTTCTATAAAATAATTTAATTTCACAATCTTCTTTTTACATTATTCATTTTTCACAATAATTTCAAATGACTTTTTACTTGCCCAGAAAGAAATGCAAACTTTATAAATTTTTTGCAACAGGAAATATTATAATATAGATTAATTTTTTACGTTATTTAGTCAAATTAATGTGAAAGATATATCACAAAAATTTATCAATTAATTTGAGATGTAATTCTGTAAAAAATATTTTGTCTTTTGATTAATATGTATCTATATATATATATATATATCATATACAATAAGTGTAAATGTATATACTTATAAATGAAATTCATTTACAAATAATTTAGATTTCAACACATGTACATATGATATTATATATGTATAAATATTCTTTTTATTTCATTTTTTTATTTAATTATTTAAAAATTATTATTAATGATTTATTATGTAAAAATTATAAATAGATTTTTATTTATATATATTCAAAAAACAAAATTATTATGATTTACTTTAATATATCATTCTTGATATTTATTTTAAAATTGTTTGGATTAGTTCGATTAGTCAATAAAAATATAATAAATATACCGTATATCTTAGCATTTATCAAATGCTATTTGTATATATGTTTTATTAAATTATAATATTAAACCAAATTTCATGACAAAGAAACAATACTATCTTTCTCATAGCAATAAATATATTTTTTCATAAAAAATTTTGTAATTATAACTTCCATTTGATTGTAATAATAATAAAGAGATGAAAAAAATTGTACAATAAAATATAAATAATAAACTTAATTGTCATATTTCTTGAACTTATAAAATTTAAGAATCGCATGTTAGCATTTATATGAATTTTTGAATGATCTACAAATTTTATTCTTATGTATCTATATTCATAAATATATATTGCATTATTTAATTATATTTTATGTTTATATTGTACTTATATTTTTAATTCAAATAATTTCATCATTTTATCTTATTTAAATGATATATGATACGACTTATTTAAGTGATATATGATATAGCAAAGTAAATATTATATAATGATTTAATATTATGTATTAAATCATTAGGAAGTTGTATCATCTTTCGTCGCGTTTAATACCATGCATTGCATTATTTTTTTAAAATTATTTTTTAAAATTTCACATATTTATTTGATTATAAATTTGTCAAAATGCTATTTGATATCCAAAACAATTTTATTTTATATTTTACTGATCTCGTACCATAAAATTATAAAGTATTATAGAAGAAGACCAGGAGCAAATCGATATAGAAGTAAATTGATATATAAAGAAAAATTATCTCGGTATTGTATAATAAAAATCGAAGTAAGACTTCATATATCTTTTATTTTTGAATTTTTTGAATTTTATTTTTTTATTTTGAATAATAAAATATATTATCAATGAATATTCTATTAAGATAATTTACATAAAATATAAAATATTTATGTGATAGTTATGTATAATATTTGTGTAAAATTTTTAAAACTGTTAGTCAATCTCTATAAGATTATTCAAATTATTTGTTATAATCGTTTTTTTGTATATTATTTTATCTTTTGTAATTAAAATACAAAATATTTCTATATTCTTTTACAAATCAAATTATCTATAAATAAAATTCTTATGAATCGTTGTCTGAACAATTAGAAATAATCATATGTTACAATTAATAATATTTATTTGTTTCTTCTTTTTTTAAATGTTAGGATTATTTCAAATATTTGAAAATAAAAAAAGACACTTATTTGCTAATTTTTTTTTTGCAATTAAAAAATTATTATTAACCCTGATGATGAATATAGTGAAATCGAAATATAAGTATTAATTTTAGAATTATAAGTTAATTTTAATTTCACCACGATAAGAAGTAAAAATATAAAATTGTAAATTAATTTCAATTTCAATTTGTTCATTTGATTACTAAAAATTAACTTAATATCTATATTAATTAACAAAAATATTGTTTGAAACTTTATATTTAGAGATTCTATAATAACAGTTAAGAGATAATCCTTCTAAAAATCAATTAAACTATTTTTGTTTATTAGATTTTTCTTATTTAAAAATTTTAATAAAATTTTTATATAACTTGAGAATTTTATCTCTTTTGTTAAAATTTTATCAAAAGTTGCAAAATATCTTTCTCAAAAAAATGAGAATATGTCTTTTTTGTCTCATCTACTTTTTTGAGAAGCTTCAAGCTTCTTTATTCATTCTCTTTTTTTATTTTGAACCTTTTTATCTTTTTTTTTCATTATTTAATCTTTTCAATATTTCTTTTTACCAATTAAAAATATGGCAATTTTTTAAAAGACTGATTCAAATTATATTTTATTAGTTTATTAGCGAGTGTTAATAACATTTGATATCGATTATTGAAATCAATTTTCAATTTTATTGCAATTTCTTTTAAATTATATAATTATTACTATTAGCTATTTTTTATTCTTAATTATTTTATTTTACTCGAAAACGTAAATTTAAATAAAATTACATTTAAATAAAAATATTTTTTTAAAAAATTATATTTTTATTTATGTAATAAATAATGAATTGTCCTCAATGAATAAATACTATACTCCTATATTTTTTTTTGCACTTTCAATTTCTGATAACTCTAATTATAAACTAAATATAAATCTCAAAAACAAAGATGGGCAAAATTTTAATTATTGATATTAAAAATATTAAGAGGGAAGTCACTTCACAATAATTATATTATTCATATATCGAATCTGAAAAGTTTTAAAGATCATACATCTTACGATCCATCATATATACGATTTTATATTAAAACATAAACGACCATCAATGATGATTTACCTGAGTATTATTAAGCTTCTGATTTCTAGATGCAATAGAATTGGACGAAGGCGACGACACCGGATCGATTACGGAGGGACGTGGCATTTGGAAGCAAGAAATACGAGGCAACGAAGCTGGCACGTATTCCTTGGTGAGATAAGCGTGTTCCTTTACCCTCTCCAAAGAAGGCCTGAGCTCGGGATTCGGTTGGAGGAGCCATTTGATAAGATCTTGCCCGTTTCGGCTCGCTATCGAATCGTCAACCTCCCGATAATGATTGTTACATATCCTCGCGTACGTTTCTTTCAGCGATGCTGTGTCGAAAGGTGGTTGCCCTACCAGCAGGGCGTACAGTATGCACCCGAGCGCCCAAACATCCGCCTCGTAACTGTATGCTTGCTTATACAACACTTCCGGCGCGATGTAATTCGGTGTTCCGCATATCGTCCTGCGCATACAAACGAATTATTACAATTTTCACGTGTATCAAGTGCAAAACTGTTTCTTATTCTCGAGACACGATTTCCGTTCTAGCCACTTGATGTGAAAAATTTTTTTTTTCTCAGTTAAGGATGTTCGTTTCTTGTAGCATTGAACAATGCGAATCAAGACAATGTTTAATAGTTAATTTAAATTTTTGCATTGTTTGTCCATTTAGTAAAATTACCATTTGTTATTTACTATTAGACTTATTATTAGAATTTCAAACATTATTATATCTGGCTATAAATATTTTTGAGAAATACTATACTCTTGAGAATTGAAATTGATAAATTGATTATTGTTTCTTTTTTTTTTTTTTGAATATTTTTTTAATTATTTTTACAGCAATATACGATATTCCTAAATCTTAATGTAATATTGTTCATTTTATAGAAATAAATGAATTTTTGAACCAGATTCACATAGAAATATTTTTTTTTTAATTAAGTTGATAGCCAAAGATAGAAAAATGTACTTTTTTTCTCTAGATAGAATGAAGAAAGTATTAGTATTATAAAAAAAATTTGAGATGATATTGATTAGAAAAAAATTTTTTATATATTAAGATTGTTTCGTTATTCATGGTACAACAGAGATTTCTTATAAAAAAATAATTAATAAATTTTTTCATATGAAGTTTTACTTTCGAAAAATTCCAAATTTAAAAATTTCGATTTATCATTAATAATTTCTTTAATTTCTTAATTTATTTTTATTAAAACAAAGATAGAATTAAAAACTATGGTACATTACGAAACAACACGCAATAGTTAATTAAAAGAATATAATTATATGTGTGTAGCATCATGATCGAAATTTTAAACATTTTTTATCAATAAATACATTTGTGAAAAGCAATATCTTTAGAAAAATTATCTTTATTTGTAAAATCATTTTATAATTACATTACATTATTAGACAATAACAACAAATAAACAATAGTATTTCTCATATTTATAAACACAAACACAAGCAGAAAAAATTGGTAAGTAAAATTAATAATTAATGTACATATACTCGATAAATTTTCAAATTCGATTTTTTCGAAAATAAAGCTTCGTATGAAAAAGATTTTATCCATCTTTTTCGACTTATTTTTTCATGAGGAACCACTCCCTGTCCGGTTGTATTACGAGTAACGGAATATCCTTTATAACATCGAGTTACATTTCCCTCTATATTGTGCAACTTTCGTATGAAATATTTTTTTACATAACAAATAATTTACAAATTATTTAAAATAATTTTTAATATTCGTTTTATATATTTTGAATTCTTTATGACCAAAAAAATTAGAACAATTTTCAATATTTTTAATAAAATTAAAAGGCTTGATTGAAATTTAATTGCAAGTTTTCAAATTTTTAATCAATTATTAATATATTTCACATATGTACATATGTGGATTAATAATTTATATATCTTATTTTTTTTAATAACTAAAATATGAAATTAAGAATACCTGGAGTTTATTTAAAATATTTCTATTTATATTATTATTATTAGTCACTACATTAATTGAAGAAGAAAATTCATTATATTTGTTTCATTATTTCGATATGAAGTGAAAATATGAATTGACAAAAATCTTTATACAATATATAAAAATATTAAACAAAATAAAATCTATTATTAAAGTTACGTATTATTAAATTTTCTTTTTTTATTTTTTGAAATTTGTTATTGATATCTATAATAAAAGTAACAGTTAATCCAAAGTTTTAAATACACTAAATAGTATCTTATATAATAGTTTAAATAACTGTAAATAAGTAAGAGTAAATATAATATATCTGAAATGAAACAATGTATTCTATATAAGAATATATAAGAATAAAATATACGACATACATATTATTAATTTATAATCATTCTGCTATGTATGAAGGTCTTATTGTTAACAATTGATAGAATTTTAAAAGTAATTCAAAGAGATTTAAAAAAAATACTTATTTTTTTCCAATTTCATAATCTGAAACATATGTACATATGTATATATACATTGAATATATAATATAATTGTAAATGTACAAGAATACGTATATAGGATATTAATATATTCATTGAACATTTTTCAAAGATCAATAACCAATAAAAAAATTGATATAGAAAAATTTCAATAAAACTTTATTTATTAAGCTAATCAATTGAAATTTGAATGAAGCAAGATGGAAATAGAGTGAAATAATTGTGTTTCCTTTATACTCTGTTTTCTATCTTTCTTGTTATATTTATTTTACCATTTAGAATTTTTTAAAAGTCCCATCAATATATTAACATAACAATTATACTAATACATTATTAATTAACATTAATCATTCATTAGTTGCATATCAAATAATGAATAGATTCTGTATAATGTTTCATAATTAAAAATCTTACCACATTTCTAGTTGTGGTAAACACTGATCGAGCTATTAAATTGAATAGATGAATTTATTTTGCAGAAAAAATTCAAAATTAATATATTAAAAAAAAAAAGATTTTAAAAGTAGGTATACTTTTAGAAAAGAGAAATAAAAATTCTAATTATAATAATTATATAATAAAATTAATAAAATGAATGTCAAGAAGATTAAAGAAATTATATAATCTAATTAGAAATTAAAATTATCTATTAAAATTTACAATTGTTGTTAAAAATATAAAATATACCAATATTTATTATTACATCTATATTATTTTTATTCATCAATAATTTAGTTTTATTTAGATAAAAATTTATATATAATCTAATATAAAAATTTATGTAAATATTATGTAAAGATTTTATGTTTCATTAAAATTGAATAATACATAACATTATATAATTCTTTTGTAAAAGAAATTACTTGCTGAATGTAATATTTTTTACATTCATTACATACATACTATTCTTAAAATTTTTTTATTTTTAATTTTATGCAACATAAATTGATTTTAAATAAAATTGCTGAAAGAATTATAAAATGTATAATTATAAACGATAAGATAATTCATAAATAAATTTATACATATATATATATATAGAATATATTCTATATATATAATATATGCACATATAAAATATTATCTATATTATTTAAATATTTTTTAAATATATTTATTATATGTTACTTTATTAATATACCAAAGAAATTATAAAATATCATATGTCTCGATAGATGTATATCAAAATAAATATAAAAATAAATATAAAAATTATACATAATTTAATATATATATATATGAAATTTTTTTTATTTGAAATCGTATTTTTCAATTAATATTGTTTTTTTACAATTAATATATTCAATAATAAATAATATATTTTCTTACAAATAAATTTCAGAAATTTGTCTTATGCATTTTTCAATGCATTTTATTTGAATTAATATAATATAATTAATATGCGATGATATTAATATTAATTAATGTAAATAAATTTGTGTAATGATGAAATCCATTACATTCTTTTAAACATTCTTTTAAGTTTCATAAAACACGTGGAATGAAAGAAGAAAAACGTGCAGAAAAACGTGATAATTTCTCACGTGCATAATTCCTCTATCACCTTTAGCAAAGTTCTACACACATAATGGAATGGATAATGATTAGTAAAGATTGAAGAAAACTTACACTCGTCTGCACTGTCCGTCAAGCCTTGTCGCCAGTCCAAAGTCTCCGATCTTGACAATCATACGGTCCGATAGGAACATGTTACCTGGCTTCAAATCCCGATGGACAACTTTCTGAGAGTGAATATACGCAACACCGGTTACCATTTGTTTCATGTAATACCGTGCTTCCGGCTCCGTGACTTTGCCACGGTACTTCAGCACGTGCATCAAACTCTGTCAAATAAAAGTGACACAATTTGAATTGGAAAGCATTGGTGCAAAATGGATAGTGTATATATGATGTATATGATATTTATCTCTTTGATTGGATGTTTGGTTGTGTTGAACATTTGATTTAATATGTTTTATTTTTATTGTGTATTTATAAATTTTTTTATATTGATAATTTATTTATAAATTTTATGATATATAATGTATGATTGTAATATATAAATATGTAATCTTATTAAAATATCTAATGTTGACAAAAATTTTGAAAAATTTAATAAGAAATGAATATTATTATGAATTTATATTAATAGTTTTTCTGTGTTACATTAAATTTTTTAAAGGCAAAAGCAGAATATTGTTTCAATTTTTAACTGTTTTATTTAATATTTTAGTAATTCATTTAATTTTGATATATATGATATGAGCGTTAGTATATTCAATGGAATTTTTTGGTAAAACTTTATTACTAACACATTCAAGATTAAAAATCTTGGAAAGAAGTTCTTGGTGATGGATATTGATTATTGATAAAATATCAAAATATCAAAAATAATTATAAAACAAGGAAAAATGCAATGAAATTCAAAAATAGCTATGCACATTAACGAGGATACTTATACTAATACGTAAGCAAAAGAAAAACAAATATGTAAAAAACTCTTTTTCACTTTTCACATTTCTTGGAAAAATTTATGACGCGTCAACTGCCATAAAATAGGAAATCCCCATGACGCATATGTTGCATCACGATATCGAATATGTTGAGTTATAAGTTATAAATAATTTAAATTTTTATTATTTTTCTTTCCTTCTTTCTTTCTTTCTTTCTTTCCTTTCTATTTGCAAAATATCTAAGTTTCAAAATCAAATTAAATATATTATGTAATTGAAGAAAATTTCGAATGAATATAGTGTTAATGTTAATAAAAAAAATTTTAATTAAGGACGATTATTATTGTAATTGTAGCAAATAAAAATGATGAAAATTTATAAAAATATTCGTGAAACAAAAAAAGGAAAAAATATGATTTTATCTTACATTTAAGAATGCATAGAAGGTGTACGTAAATTTATTTTAAAAGGCATATTCAAAAGAAGAAGAAGATTCTCTTCTTAAAGATAGCTTTAAGAATTTATAGCGCATTGCTACTTTGTTTGGAAGAAAATGTTCTTTCATCCGAGGATAATTGTTACTTCAAGATTCGCAAATGTTATTTTATCATTTTTGGAAAAAGAAGTAATGATAATTTATGATAATCTTCGTCAAATAATTTTCAACGTTAATCCTTCCATATACACAAGATACACAAGGAAAAAATTTTTATGTATCTTGTACATCATCTTCTTAATTGAAATTTAGTTACTTCAAAAATGAAATTATGAAGCTTTAATAAAATTTTAAAATATCCTCTGATGAATGTTTGGCATTGATTATTTAAAATTTTATACGCAAATTTTTCGTTCCTAAATGGCAAATACATTAATTTTTATATTTTAATATTTTACACATATCTACATATATCAAAATTTCATAAAATTGCATAAATTATAGTATTTTTTTTTTAAATTTGAATGTATATAAATATTTTTTCTTCTCATTATAGATAATATCTTTCATCAAATTCATTATTATCGAATTTTAATTATTAAAAGAAAATTGAATATTATTTATCGAATATTTTTTGACAATGATATGACATAATCGAATCACTATTCTATCAGAATCAGCTTAAATTTTAGCACCAAATCAGTAAAACAATTATACATATATTAACTTGTAGATGGAGCAATTTTAAGTCCGTTTTGTTTCCTATTATCATTTATAATCAATATTTAAAATTGCCAAAAAAAAGATATTTTTTATGGTATAAAATAAAAAGTCAAGGTATTCTTGATATTTTTAATATGGTAATTTAACGACAATTAATATGATCGTCGAATAATCTTGAGTTCAGAAATCTGTTGAATTCGTAGAAATATTAACGTTAATTTTTTTATCAAAGCATTATGTCACATGTTTAACAATAATACGTATATCTTCAACAAATTACAATAATAATAAATAATTATACAATAATTATCAAATGTAACTTTTTATAAAAAAAGAATAGTGTTATTTTATTTCTTCGAAATTGTAAAAAAAAAAAAAAAAAATAGAATACGAAAAAATATATAAAAGATTAGATACATTTTTGAAATCAAATTTTATTTTAATTATATTTTTCATTATTGAAGACATGGACACAATTTCAGGAATATTCTGTAATAATTAAGAAAAACAAATTCGAAATTTAATAAATTTTATCGTTAACACGAAATAAAAAATCAAACATCGATATATACAATGTACTAAAAAATGATGAAAATGTTAAATATAAATTTGCTGAAGATCCTGCGTATATTATTAATTTCTATTTATTCGTATAATTATAAACACGAGAATAATATCATGCTGACTAATGAACCAATATTTAATTTCAAGTTACTTTAACGACAAATCCGTAACATTTTTATCACTAAATTGTTTCTCAATGGATTGACGAAGTGATTGTTAGTAACAGTTAATAACAATGATTGTTAATAATTTTATAAATTAAGGATAATCGAACGATGACGAGCCAGCATTCTAACGGTAAAAACAATTGGATGATTAGTCATGGAGAGTGCAAGTGCTCGTTCTCTTTTCTATTCACGTTAAAATGTGGTGTCCACAATTTCATTCAATGCGTATCAACGATTTACGTTATATGTGAAATATGTTATTACTGTGGACAAAAAATTCCATGGAATGTTTTTCGTTTCTCAAAATATTGTAGCTATCTTTTTCTATCTGATTTATAATTCTTTTACGCAACGACAATTTTATGAATGGTTATCCTAATGAAAAAGGATGTTTTATAATTTTTTGAAAAAATATTTTAGAAATGTATTATATATGATATTATTATTTCAATGATCTCCAAAATAATTTTATAATTTGATTTTAATCTATTGCTTTTTTCAAAAAATCGCAAAGGTTTCTGTTTCATTTGACAACAATACAAGGAATAAGTATCTTTGAAGCACGTTACTTTGAAGCAC